TCTTACATCTTATATATATCATTCTAATGAGTCAAATATTATATTAGTATAATAAAATTTTCGACGACCTCGTGTAACATGATGTTGTGTAATCCAGTCGCAATTCTTTCAATCCTGAATACGTCGATTCAAATTATTTCAGATTTTCTTAATTATTTCGCAAATTTATAAAAATAAATAGAAGGTAAAATATTGTGAAGTGAAGCAATAGATTTAACTGAAAAAAGATCAATCATTATGCATGCTGCATATAGATAAAATTATATTTATTAGACACATATTTTCGATAAGTATATAATATTTTATTAATATATATATATCGTAAAAAATAAAACACAGGAATGTATATTATGTGCTCTATCGCGAGAGATACAATCATCTTTTTACCCGATCTTAATAACGGAGCAGTGAAAAAATAAAAATGTCATAACTCGATGTATCCATCGTGAAAAGCGATATTTAATATCCAGATTCAAGTGAATGTTCTATTATTTCAATCCTAACTAGCTTAAGAATTCTTACAAATCGGTCGACCACAGCATTGTGGGTAAGGCTTGCTAAAATCCATTTCCTGATATCCAATTTGTTGCCCTGGTAAACAGGAAGCTAAGGGACATCTGAGAAGAATAAAATACAGTCGGGCAGAGATTTAATTAATGTTAAAATTACGATAAAATCTTGTAACTGCAGATTCCATTGCGAAGTAATCATTGAAGAGACATTTAATACGAAATGTTGTTAGAAAAGAGAAAAGAATAATATATATAATTATATAATAAATATCTATAAAAAAATATCTATCATATATCTTATGATGTATAATTATATAAATCATGGTATGACTCACGCGAGCGCCTGTATTTTATTGTTCCCAATACAATTAAGTTTTTGACAATTGCGAGTATGTGTACCGACACTCAATATTTCGTCTTCAAAAGAGCAGCCTAAAAATACATTCATAGATACATTTGAAATTCTTTTATAAAAATATTTATTATTTTTACGTTATTAATTTAGTTGCAAAGCTATCAGAAAATTTCTCATTGAAATATCGAGTTTACGTGTATGTTTATTTTTAAAATCTCTTAGAATACCAATGATGGCGACATCGTGATTATAAATTCTTTATAAATCCACTCTATATCGAATCTCTAATTTTGCAGCATCCGAATGTAAAGATGACTCTTCCTCGGTAATAATTTTCTAATTTGTCGAATTACGCAACGTACCGTCTATATACTGAGAGTGAACGAGCACACACGCCAACAACAAGATCGTGCAGCAGACGAGACCCTTCATCTTACTTTCTTGCTTCAGAGAGAATCACCAGGAAGAAGAGATGATAATCAATTAGAAAACTACGTTTCGGCATTTATATATCGTGACTCCCTTCTCTGGCGTCGTGACCTTTAGACATTTCTTCTGTTCGACGAAGACATGACAAAACGTATGATATCACGCGTGGCAAGCAGCAATAAAAAGAACAAGGAAGTATCAAATCAAGGCCCGCATAAATTAATAAATTAATAAAAAGAGATATCTCGATTCGAGCGCGTTATGATCTCTCACTTTTGTGGTCGTAGAGCATTGCTTACTCGCGTCTTCTATCAAGCTCAGAATTCTGTTCTGTGTACTTTTTTTATATAAAATACCTCTCTGACGAAGGATCTTTTGTCGGCTTTTAATTAAGTGTCTTGATAGTATTCAGCCTTAATACAGAATTGTCTAAAAAAAAATGCAGCAAATAAAATTTATTCAACGGCCTCGAATAATGTGATGCAACTTTTTTTCTGTGTATTATAAATTCGAGACATCCTAGAATTTTTTAATTATCATTTCACAAATTTATAAGGATAAATAAAATGTAAAAATACTCTAGATTAATGAAGCGGTAGTTTAAATTGACAAAAGAAATCAATTATTGTGTGCTGCATGTAGATGGATGTAGATAAAATTATATTTATTACACATTTGTTTTCGATTTAAATACATAATATTTTATATTAATATATTTCGCAAGGAATGAAACGCATTCGTATACGTGAGCATATATTACGTTTATTAATGTAGTTATACATTCGAAAAATCATTTGATTTTTGCGTAGCAAAATACCAGAAATGAACGAACTAACATTTTCAATATGTAAGTTCGAAAATTTATGTTTCTTCGCTTATCCATTGTCATTCGACATATGCAACAAAAGAAAATCACGAAACACATTACAGTGATTTACAAATAATGATTGTACAATTATGCGTTATATACGAACAATCTCTTATCAATTACGTCGATAAATATCTATAACTCTTTGATGCGATAAAATAATAATAATTACTATCGCGACAGAGTTTAAGAGCTTCAAATATTTACAATATTCGTTTAAACTTTGTATGTACAATCAACCACGCACTTTGTCAAAGATGTGCAAAGTGAAAATTATATTTAAAGAAACACCAACAATTCAAACTAAGGTAGCTGTAAAAAAACCGATTAAAGAAATTCATCTAACAATCTTGACAAAAGTATCTCTAAGAAACTTTCCAACAATTTATTTTTTGTATTTATAATTAAAGCGTCTTTTTAGCATATTTTTCATAAACTAATATTCGAAGGGTCTACGTACATTAATAAGATGAGTAAAAAAATATATTAAAAGTGAAAGAAAAGAAGATTTTTAGGAACGATTTGAGACGCCTTGGAACAAGTGGTATCGAGGGACAGAGTTTTTCAAGATAAAAAGATACGCGTGTAATTTCTCGCAATTTTTTTGAATCTTTCTTTAATTTGCCCATTTTCAGTTTACCCGATTAATTTTTTTAGAGAGGATGTTGCACTATATATATTTTGTGATAAAAATTCGACGAATTACAGACGTGCCTTATACGCTACAATAAACTTTATAATCATTTTATTGCCATCTTGATTCGGTCATCTTCAGAAAAGAAAACTGTACTTGTTCAAGATGATCGTTTCTTCTTGAGATTACAAAATTTGTTCTAACGTTGAAGAGTCATCTTTAGACTAGAGAGAAATCTAAGAATATCGTAAATTGGATTTTAAAAAATCATCTGCCCACTTTGTAATATATCTTGGAATTAATTTATAAATTTACGAATACTGTATAAATTTTCAAAAAACACCATCCATAGAATATAATTATTAAGTTTAAATTTATTATTAATTATAAATTTCTTTTATGAAAATATATAATTTTTTGATAATTATTGACCATTGAGATACTTTTCAAAAATTTAATTATTGAATAACTATAATAAATTTATACTTCTTAATTATTAATGTGATATCTATTTTTGAAAAAATATAAAATGTGATAGAGAGGCTATTAGAATCCATTAATAATCTTTTAGCCTTCTTTCATTAAGATTTAGTTCGCTGTGCATATTATTACATAGAAAATAATTTCTATGTGAAAATGTTGCAAAAGCGACATAATTACACGCCATAATCCAGTTTGAATTTCATGAATCTCGGAGATTTTTCGGATCCAAATCGCACTTAATTATCGATATATAAAATATTACCTCTAATATCGATCGCTGCGCTGCAATACGTGCAAAATATTATATAGTATACAAAATATCTTTCTCCCGAATACATATACATATGTGTATATATCGCGACACATGGGTCATTGTAATTGTCCGTGTGTTAAATTTACTGGTCCGCAATTTCCTGAAATAGATTTATTTGTCAAATAACGCTCCAATTGCGATTACATAATTTCGCACTAGTACGTGATCGACAAAGCCTGGTCAATTTTCATGTGGAATTATTATTTTTTAAACACGTGACGTGTATAGGTTTAAAGTTGTCTAATTACAATGTCACCAATTTATCTCGTGCCGTCCGTTTGAGCTTCATTTATCGAGAATTCATTTACAGAGATAAATTTAAATATCTAAGTCAAAGCTAAATTATTTATGGAAAAAATTTACATAAACAGAATTTATCGAGTAGAAAGAAAAATATTCGTTCGATTAAGATATTGGTTTATTATCTGTCTTGTTTTTTTATCATTATGTCTAAAAATTTTTGGACGGGATTTTCTATCAATCTACGAAGTTCAATAAATGGAGCATTATTAGATACGAATAAAATCGAGAAAAATATACTGCTCTTTGTCACATGAATCTCTCCAAAAATATAAATTGCTAGAAGAAACACTAGTAGAAATGCAGATAGATGAAGCACAAATATGGTAAATCTAAAATCTGTAAATATAATTGTAGATATAATTTATGAATATAAATATAGATCCTTACATGCTAAATCTTACATATTGTTCTACGTATGGTCCAAAATATCTTCGAAATGTATATATAAAAATTGCTGAATATACAAATTGCAGTACGACGACGTACCACATAGTGAGTACAATGATATTGTACGTGTGTAACTGGGATCATCTCTCTTCTTGATCATGATCCCTAGAAATTACAGGCGACAATGTAATTGTATCTCGAACATATCTCGAATGAAATGCACATTCTCGTGTAATTCAGTTTTAATCATTCTCTAAGTTCTCGCAACGCGCAACTTATATATATATATCGACAAAATTTTGCTAAAAAATATATTTATATATAAACAGATATTAATAGAAAATAAATGAATCTTATGTAATTATAAACCATATTTTCGTAATGAGTTGCTCTTATTCTTTTTTCTTACAGTATTAATCGTGTCGAGTTGATGACGCGAGAATTTAATATAATTAATACTGAGAATTATATAAAATAACAAAAGTACTATACAAAACAATGTAGGAAGATCTCCTTACCGATATATTCTTTCGAATCTATGTTGGTCTTCTCCTTTCACATTTTTGATAAAAGAATACTATCATATAAATAAATAAAATTATTTAAAATCTGGTACTTATACAATTTCGCAGAATGCTTAAATTGTTCTTTTTTATTTATCATATAAATTTATATAAAATATATATATATTTTATATATCATATATATGTATATACTTGTAAAAATAATATTTATGTATAAATATTTACGAAAAAAAGTATCGAAAATTGCAATAGAAAATAGATTATTAAGCAAAAAATACGCTATCAAAAGTCTTCATCTCATATTCGTATTCGTATAGATAGATTCAATTCGACTACTACAAGAAACGACTGTAGAAATTTCTCGATCAATTCATACACACAATTATCTATAACGCATATATACAAAATTATACGGACGATATTGAAAATTGTATATGTGTATGTACGTGTGTTAAATGCATACGTTACTCTTATTATAATATAAAAATTTACTTTCAATGCACTGCGGAGAAAACCAGTCATTATTTCACCTCGCATTAATGTTATAATTATGTATGTATTATCTATTTTGTATTTTGTATTTTGTATGTTATCGCGCGTTCTTTCAATCACAGATACGAATTTTTAATAGAATCTATAGTTGAAAAAACATTCGGTTCTGAGACATGTACATAAATATAATGTAAATTCTACAGGATTCTTGATAAATCTATTTTAATAAATAGATATTTAATTATGTGCTCTACTTTGTGTTAAAAATTTTGAAAAATATATTTAAATTTGCTGCCTGGCTAAGGCAACTTCTAATAATATCTTTCCAAGTTTTATATTTAAGTCAAATGTTTTTAAATTCACATTTATTATACAGTTATAATCCGCTTCTTCTAATTTCTAATCCGTCTTCCTAGTT